ATCACCTACACGAAACTGGAGACTGGTCTAGATGCCGCGCGGAATTCGGATATAGAGTTGGTGAATGTGAATGGAGAAGCCCGTCGTAAACCACATTATATTTATTGTATTTTCATTTTGAGGGGATTTTGTTTTTTGTTTATACGAATTTTATGCATTAAATCGTGGTTATAAGAAGTTAATATTTTAATATTTATCTTTACGTTCGTGTTTTTGTTATTTTATAGGGGTTATGAATTCATAGCAAACATCAGAGGTGGCACGCGCGCAGACACTGCCAAGGTTTTCTAAAACCGCGGTGAACAGACCGAATCTTCACATATTAACAAATGCTCACGTGACAAAGTAACTGTTTCGACATTAAACGAAACAATTGCGATGTGTTTTCTTTCAATAACTTGTTGATTTCAAACTGCGGCTTGCATATTTTTACTTATAATGTTATTAATTAAACATCTGAGATATATTATTGAAGACGGGGTCAACCTACATATTAGTTCCTTTAGTTATTTATAAAATTTGTATGAGATACTTGGCTATTTTAATAATCACTCAGGTGATGTTCGAGGGCAAGCGGGCGTAGCTTGCAGTTTATACATGCTGCCGAGAAGAAAACAGCGAGAGCGTCTCGGGAGTGATCATCTTGCTGAACTATCGGCTCTCTCACATCCTCTCTGTGTTGGCGTTGGACTCAAAGAGCAACTCGACGCATTTCAATGTAAGTATAATATAATAAATATAATCTAATGCGTAGAAACTTGCGCGCCGCTACAATTCATTAGTGCATTGTAATGACGCATTAATGCTGAATAACGATACATTACTATGTACTTCTCGCGTGGAATTAGCAGTCACTTCATATAAAAGTGAATGCGGTTAGAACACGTTTCATCAGCAGGCAAGGAAAATACAAGTGTGGTAGAGAAGGTAAGACGTGATGATTAGAGGAGAATATTGCTGTTGACAGATACCACTGGTTGCTGATTTACCGGTTGGAAAGCATCAGACCATGCCGGCATATTCTACCAGAGATTTTAATCAGCAAAATTAATCAGCGATGAAAGAAAGAACTACTCAGCTTTGAGACCAACGCTAAGTGGGATTTGTTAGGGCTATGGTATAGGTAAAAAATACATTCCGTATATTCGTTATGATCTCTCATAGACAAACACGTGGCTATACTAGACAATGAAAAGCCGTATATACTGTTTCTAACGGCAAATGTCTATAACAAAATCGTAATCTTAGAAGGAGAACGACAATAGTGTTTGATGCGCAATTTTATATCATTCAGATCATTCGCAATATTATCATATAGATATTCTAACACAACACACCGCGACCACTGCGATCTAGACTTACTGCTTCGATCCTCGACTACTAGTACAATATCATGACGTCAGTCTTTGTTGCAGGCGCTCTTTCGGCTAGCGGCCTGGACGCTGTTGGCTTCTTTAATACAGCCGGGTTGGAAAAGAAAGGCGTGCCACCAGATATGGAGCTACACATGGTCAGCTTCGGAATGGGATCCATAGATGAAGATTTTACATATAATTGGCTGGGACTCGATAGAAAGGTAATTATTTGTACAATAAATATCTTTCACAAATAATGCAATTTCCATCATTGTCTACAATCTCTATAAGACAATTATAATGCAGGTATAATAATATAAATATATAAATAAGTTATTCTAAACTTTAGCATGCTAAGATCGATTTCCCTCAAGTATGTTTATATTTTTTTGTATATGCGTCTTAGTAATCCTTAACCTTGCAAAAAACTATAACGTAAGATGTTATCAGTTTATTAAATTGTCACACTGCGGTGCGCAAGTCAAGTGTAGCCTTTCCTGCACCTTAGTTTATCAAGGACGCCAACTATGCCGCCCAAGAGAATCGTCCTCTTTTCTCGTGGATACCATCTTTGTTGCAACCTAAAAGTGTCGGTGATATTCGCCTGAGAACCAGCGACCCGCTAGATTATCCGCTCATAGATCCACGCTACTACGAGAACGAAGAAGACGTTAAAACGATGGTGGCAGGTGTGTAGAAGATAAAATAGTTTGCTTTGTAATATTTATGTAGATATCTGATTAAGTGCTTGTTTGCGAAAAACACGCTCGCGTTCGCACGTGCTTCCCGAATACATTTATCGGTAAATATATTTGTTGACCAGGGATCAAGATAGCGATGAAAATATCAGAGACCGCTGCATTCAAGGCTATCGGGGCAGAAATAAATCCACACAATTTGAACCTGCCAGGATGCACGCAATACGGCAAAGGTAACAGTACCATATAATAATGCGATATATATATAATATCTGTATACGTGTGTGTGTGTGTGTGTGTGTGTGTGTGTGTGTGTGTGTGTGTGTGTGTGTGTGTGTGTGTGTGTGTGTGCGTGTGTGTTTGTGTGTGTGCGTGCGTGCGTGCGTGCGTGCGTGCGTGCGTGTGTGTGTATGTGTGTATGTGCTTGTGCGCACGCGTGCGTGCGTATGTACGTGAGTGTGCGTGCGTGCGTTTGTGTGTTTCTGTATATACGTACAGGAGTCGCTGATTCCGTACATAGATGCCAATCTTCTCTTCCGAATTTCTTCTCGTAACGGGACATGTTAATATCGCCAAATTAGCTATATTATATAATGGCATCGGATATACGCGTGAGGTTAATCACCCATAAGAACATACGCTGATCACGTGCTGACAAACGGCGTATCAGCCCGAATTTGTCGTTCAATTTTGATGATTTTAGTAAGAATTACGTTAAACATTTTTAATGCATGTCCGCAAGTGTCGCATGGCATGCATATTTCATATATTTCATGCATATTTTACACAGGTGACGAATATCTGTAGTGCGTTGCGCGCACCCTATCCTCGACAACTCGCCATCAGACGGGAACCTGTAAGATGGGCGCCAGTACCGATCCGTCTGCCGTCGTTGATCCGCAGCTGAGGTTAGTGGGGAAACATTTACGGACAGTCACTCCGAGCAGTTGGTTTCACTTCTTCACGAGGCATGCTGTCAGGACCACGTAACATTATAACGGATCAAATACTGTTTATGATTAAACATTTTCAGTATGTGTTACAATATTAATTCCAACGCTGGTCGCGGCGTAGCAACAAAGTTACCTGTGCAGTGCTAACGCGTGCCACCCCCGCGTGTTTCAGGGTGCGTGGAGTAGAAGGACTGAGGGTCGTGGATGCCTCTATCATGCCGGAAATCGTGGCTGGAAACACGATGTCATCATGATCGCTGAGAAGGCTGCCGACATGATACGCGCTGCTGTGAAGAACTAGTTAGCCATTTCATCGATAGTATTACCACGCATGTGCATTGTCGACATGATTGTGTTTTGTGTTAAGGCCTATTTACACGATGCGTCCTAGACGTACGTCCTAGGACGTACACCGTGTATGACAATGCAAATGCAATGTCGGAAAAAAAAGAACATCCGTCCTGTGCATCCGATATCGCAAGGGTCATACATTTGCATTGTCATAGACGGTGCGTTTTGGACATACGTCCTAGACGTACGTCTAGGACGTACGTCTAGGACGCATCGTGTAAATAGGCCTTTAGAGAGAGCGAGAGAG